AGAATTTCTTTTTATTCAGAGTGAAAGTACGATTTATCCTTCCCTAAGACAAGATACTTTATCTATGTTGACAACTCTTTTTTACGAAACAACACAAGACCAACTCTTTAAATTTGTCTTTTACTTTGGAATGGGGAATACTTGTGTAAAGTGTAGAAAAGTCGAATGGTTTGATAAATAATATTGCTAGATGAAAGAGTCTTATATTGTATGTATTCAAATAGTTCTTATGATTTTTTTAATATCCACATCTGATTCACGCAGCCTCTAGAATGGATAGTTTCACAATAACTTTGAAGAACGGCTTTTTTGGCTGACACGACTTATGTTAATAATTTAGAGAGAGGTTTCGTGGAGCACTTGGAAGACCCAGCAGCAATATAACGTTGTTTGTAAGGAAAAGTATGTAATTTAGGTATCCAATACAGTGAAGGAACATCCAGTTATTCATCTTTGGTTAAAATTCCAAAGGAACATAGATTATTTATCAAGCATTTTATGTAATGTGATTTACACACAAAAACGATGTTGTTTGGGCTTTATCTGCGGGAACAACGACATATTTGTCATGAAGGTAGGACAGTGCTTTGCAATATTTGGGTCTATTAATGTCTCTAGAAGTGAACATAACCATGGGGAACAATAACAGTTAGCTCTTTTGACATTATATCCTTACAGATATTATTATTATTAGTGTTTGTTTAACCATTCATGCATGATATCGGTATTCACAAATGTATACAAATGTTAAAATCAAATTCCATTCAAATAAGTATATTTCATAATTAATTTTCTAGTTACGCAAACATGCATGCAGAATTGCAGTGATGAAGAGTTTTCAGAAATGGAAAAAATTCAATGTTTTAAAATCTGTGTCGAATTCGCATGCGCCGAGATTCTTTTAAATTAATCATTTATTTATATGAAAACTTTTGTATTTGATATTGTACGCATATACATTCAGCGGTATTACGAATAGATAAAAAGATACTAGTACTTTAAAAACTGTTACTGTACTGATAAAACCATGCAGGAACAAAGGTTAGAGAGAAGTTAAAATAAAAATAAACATTTATAAAAATGGGATGAGATAATCATATTCAAAATATACTAGCTCACACAATTGAAACAAATAAACATGTATAAAGAAACAGATTAAATGTTCAAATTTTAGTTATGTAATTATAATTTCCTACGGTTCGATAGTATAGTTGGAAACTACTGTAATAACGGTAATAGTGAATACTATTGATACGGGTACTTCGTATGTACACGTATGATATATATAAATATATCACGTGATATTAATATTAAGCGGGAATATTTTCCCTTGTTGGTCACTTCTAGCCAAGCATCAGACTGAACAACAGTGAAATATGACAGACCCCGGTTTAGATAATTTTGTTAAACAAGTAATTGTCCAAGAAGTACAAAATGCGGTATCTACTTCCAAACGAGATACCCTTAACCAAATATCCGCTTTTATAGATAACAGGCTATCCATATTCCAGGGAAATATCCAACAATCTCAGCGAGATATCAGTCTATCTTAGATGTCCAAGATTGAAGAAACTTTGTCGGAGAACTACACATTTCAACGGAAGCGGAACGAAAACCAGTACAAACATGAGGTTAAACTCCTGACGAAGTTGACGGAGGTAAAATTAGAATTAGACGGACCAGATTTATCCGTAGAATCCATTCAACAAGCAAGAGACAAGATTGTTGAAGTTATGGCAATTGTAAGAGACAGACAGAAACTCATTAAACTTGCTGATTCATCAGAATTGGGGTGGAAATCGTTTAAGGAGTACACAACTAATCCAATTGCCGACGACTCCGAAGATGCAAAGAAGATGATAAGAGCGCAAAATAGAGCTGAACGTAGGAACAAGTCAGACAAGCTGAAAAAGTCGAAGACAAACAGAAAAGTGCCTTATTCCACCAAAGAGAGAGATTCACCCTCTACATGTAGAACAGGGAGATGTTTTAATTGTGCAAAAAAGGCCACTGGGCGGGACATTGTCCTGAAAAGAAAGACAAGATAAAAGAGGGACGAAAGATACCAGACGGACAGTCAAACTCATTGATCGAAAACAAACTGACAACGCCATGGCCAAAAATAAAAAGACAAACAGACAAATAATAGTACAGATGACACAACATCAGTATACATGTACTTAAAAATTTTGAAAGTTATGATTGGTATAGTAATATAAAGGAATATTATATTGATCAAGCTGAAAATTCATTCCAGGCTAGGGTATACATGGGATACAAATATAGGTAAAGTTATTGTTAATAAAGATAGAATTATGAAAACTGAGAAAAAGATTTTTAATAGAAGATACAGACCAATATCTAGATCAAGGGGTTATAACCAAACTCATTTGAGCAGAATCTCCCACTTTAATGATCGGTAAAATGGGATAGAAATTACTGCAAAATCGTAAAAAACAGAATATTTTTCGGCCGTATATAAGTCAAATAATGCATATTTTAAGGTTTTTCTTGTCGTATAACACACTTCGGGTGGTGTCAGGATTGCCCAAGGAAAGACCTCCATCCGGCCGGTCTTTCATTTGAACAATCCTGACACCCCTCGATGTGTTATACGACAAGAAAAACCTTAAAATATGCATTATCTATAACATAACTTAAGTTTCACTTTAGTAGAATATATGATTCCTACTAAATACAAAATAGAACAAAATAATTCAATAGAAAATGAACTTTATTTCACTCTTGTCCAGTCTGATGCTTGGCTAGAAGTGACCAACAAGGGAAAATATTCCCGCTTAATATTGATATCACGTGATATATATATCATACGTGTACATACGAAGTACCCGTATCAATAGTATTCACTAGTACCGTTATTACAGTAATTTCCCACTGTATTATCGAACTGTGGGAAATTATAAGTATCAACTTTACTACCATTTCTTGGTATCTCAATAAATACTAAATACTATATACTAGTATATAGTCGATAGTCCCGCAATACTAGAACCACACAGAAAGGGCGGGTAAAGTTCAGTTTACAATCCAAGTGTTTGTGAAACTGACATTCTCTTTTCAAATGCATCATCCATGTACCCGCCCTTACTTGTTTCTGACTTCCACCTCGCGTGTCTCTTAATGCACCTTTCGTTTACATCAGACTGGGAAGCAACGGTAGCACCGCCTGCACGAAGAGAATGTAAACCTAGATTAAGATTAAGGGCGACAATTTTTATCCTTTTTACAATATTGTCTTTAGCTGAAGTGTAACTCATCATCTTATTCTTATGTATCAATTTAGCTATACCCCTTGATTTGTTAGAGTGGGACCCGATTTTTCTTACGCAAAGTTCGTATTCTGAAGTAAGTGAAGATATTTTTTTTTATTTAAAACCAATTGATAATGATTTGGAAATTACCCGTAATCAATTTAGACATGGTCTACCGCAGACAGCAAAATCACTTCAAAACAAGATTGAGGAATCGGTTCCGAAAAATTCTGTTAAAAAATATACATGGGGTTATCATGTTTTCAATAGTTGGCAAACCGAGCGCTGTTTTCGTCCGATATCGGATAATTTAGGAATTCCTCCAAATTGTATACAAAAGGATTTAGTAAGCATGGAAAACACAGAACTGTCTACTTCGGTAGAATATTTCATTGCCGAGGCCAAAAAGAAACATGGAGGTAAATATCCGTCTAACAGTATATATGACCTGTTTTCCTCAATACAGGGATATATTCGTCATAAAAAATCATCTAGTATAAACTTCTTCAAAGATCCCGAATTTCTTCGGGCTAGACAAGTGTTAGATGCTTTCATGAAAGAAAGGGTCAATGAAGGTCTCGGTTCGAAAAGAGGGAAAAAAGATACCAGAGGGACAGTCAAACTCATAGATCGAAAACAAACTGACAACGCCATGGCCAAAAATAAAAAGACAAACAGACAAATAATAGTACAGATGACAGAACATAGAAAACCAAAGACTAAGCAACACGAACCCCACCAAAAACTGGGGGTGATCTCAGGTGCTCCGGAAGGGTAAGCAGATCCTGCTCCACATGTGGCACCCGTCGTGTTGCTTATGTTATTACAAATCCGGTAAATAGTCTAATTCGGTAAATCACATTCGTGAAAAGGGAGGGTACACGCATGCAGGCTGATGTGATATCGGTAGATGAAGAAACGGCATTATATGATAAGGGTATTTTTAGCATGGATAATCCCCTACAACTTCTAGACACGTTGCGTTATTTGTGTGGTTTGCATTTTGCATTAAGAGGAGGCAATGAACACCGACGGCTCAGACTTAACCTTAATCCGCAAATAACTAGTCCGTTTCAAGATAAGGATGCTCAATTAAGATACCTGTTATACAAAGAGGACGTTTCAAAAGCTAATGCAGGTGGCCTTAATCACAGAAAAATTGCTCCAAAATGTGTCCGAGCATTTGAAATCCCAGAAAACAGGAATAAATGTATTGTTACAGTATTTGAGAAGAACAAGTCACTTTGGTAAGTAGCTTATTATTAACTTTGTAAAATGGGGGGGGGGGGATTTTTTATGTAACGCGTTAACGCAGATTATTTTTCAACACTTATAGATAAATGAACAGACAAATGGTATTCCGAATATGTAAAAATGACAATAGTGGTATCCCCCTCCTCCCAAATATAAAATATGAATATAATAGTGTATTCTACCTCTCTGTGGCGATTTCTTTATAAAGGTGTAGAACATAAGAAAATATGAAAATTGATTTGCGTAAAGAATATATAAAACAATTAAAAATAACAAAGGCAGCAGTAAATCGTCTAATGTACATGTAACCAAAAAAAAAAACAGACATCCAAAGGTCGCATTACATTTTCCAATACGAATCCACAAGATTCTATACTGTTTTCTTTAATATCTCTTCTCATGCTTGAATATGATAAAATCTGAAATATTTGTTTTAAAAGTGTTTTGAACAGTTTTTCGTGGTTGATCTAATCTCACGTAATGTCCTTTTAATTTACCTATAATTTAAATCATCTTTACATAATTACATTATGAGTGTTTGAAGTTGAATTTTACATTACGTTTTCTGGTATTTCAGTCCAACAAATGGAGGAAAGGATTGTTTTTACCTTACACCTTTAAAACATGTCAAAGATGGACAATGGTATAGCAAAACTCCTATTAGACACCACACTTTACAAGGCACTGTGAAACGTTTGTGCACACGTATTGGACTAGCTGGAAAACGTACAAACCATAGCCTCCGAGCTTCAGCAGCTACATGTCTTTATAATGCTGGCATAGAAGAACAACGTGTGGCCGAAACAACAGGTAATATAATAGTAAAATGAAACGTTATAATTTCTAATCTTTTAATACTAATATTCTTGTTTAGCACAAACAAAAATGGCATTAAAAAAACCACGAGGGTTTTGCTTTTTGCTTGTCTGCATATTACCCAACATCTATTCATTTTCACTGTTGTTTCAATTGCTATAATAGAGAACCGATGATGGTAACAAAAAATGGATATCTTTGTACAGAGACTTGAGGAAACGTATTAAGATATATGATTGTATCTGTTTCGATCACGAATGTTTTGGGTTATCAGATTTACCATTACTCGTCCGCTCGTCTGTTTGTTCGTCATGCTTGAGTTACTAGTCAAATTTTGAGTTTAATTCCATTTATTGTGCTTTATGAATATGCAGTTTAATAAAAAAAAAAGTGCTAACGTAAACAAAAAATAATTAAGCTTTGTATTGCAGGTCATCGTAGTAAAGCAGTAAGAGTTTGCAAAAGGACCTCTACCGATCAACACATAGAGGCTTCCAACATCTTGTATGGATTAAGACCGTCAGATGGAAGTAAAAAGGCAAAATCATCAGCAGCTGCCGGTGCACCAGTTGGTAGTGCGTCGGTTGAATGTTCAACAGACGAAAGTGGCAAAAAACTGTGACTTGCAACTTTTCTTTCAATTTTTCGTTATGATTAATTCATGTAAAATAAAATGAATAAAATCTGTTAACAAACAGTTACAGTAGTATTTTAATCAGGATAAAATAATGACCTTACACAGGTCATTATTTTATGCCTTGGATCACATTTCATTGAAAAATGGTATCGTCTAGGTTGATTCTTCAAAAGAATGACCTATCGTTCTGAAAGAAAATAACTCCATATAGATATATAATACTTAATAACATATAGTATATTTACTTTATATACTGTCCAAGTATAACTCTTGAGACGGTCTTCCGAGCATTTGGGTTTGGACACAGGTTTCCGACATTTTCCACTTTATTTAAAATAAAAGACTACATTTTAAATGGAGTTTGACCGAGATAACTCGTTTTTGTTGGTTTTTCCTGACCGGCGGGATCGTTGATGACAGAGCAAAATATTTTGAACACAATTTAATTATTATTCTATAGAATTCTTTAATAAAAGTTAATTTATTGTGCATTGATACTATGCTTTATGTATACTGTGTTTATCAATTATATTTATATTAATAAAATAGGGGTCCACCAGTATTGTTGGGCTATCGGCTATATATATAGTATTTAGTATTTATTGAGATGCCTAGAAATAGTAATTAGTAAAGTTGATACAAAGAGTTATTTTTTCTGCTGCATCGTATAAAATTGCTAATCTATCCGTGTGTCTTTGGTTTTCTGGAATTAAATTTGTATGCATTTGTTTCAGAAGTGTTGTTGACAGTGGTGAAGTCGTTGGTTTTACCAGGCCTGAGGGAAATAAAACATTGCCTTATTCATCTATACCATACTGTGTTGATGATATGTTCATTATAAGAATTGGCATAGCTTATATTTTGTATCACATCCTTGTAACTTATTTTTCTTTACCATTAGTTATTCCTCGTCAATAAAGTATGCAATGACATATGCTATTATATAGGAGTCCCCGTTTCTATTCTCAATTTAATCATTCTCCTTTTTTGACCTCTTTAACATGAAAATTAATTGTATTTTCAGCTCTTTAAAAAAACTTATTTGTTCTCCTCTCTTTATTGGTATCATTGTTTTATCAAGTATAAAACTTCATGGATTGTTTACCTATTATGTTTCAAGGTAAACATACCCTTTGCAAAACAACATATAATATAAACGTTGTTCTTTGCCTAAAACTATGTACTTAAGCATTCTTCTTTCCCTGAAAGCAGAAAGAATGTACCAAGAAGGCAAACAAAATCCATATGTCGACAAGACAGACTATAACCGACAGAAATTAAAATAAAATATCTTTAAACGTGATGAATACACTTAAAAAATTAGAAAACACATATCCTATCCAGTAGGATATGCAGAAATAATTAGTAGAACAAGTTGAGTTGCTCATGACAAGTTGTTTTCTGTGATGTCAACAAAAGTTTACCGCTGTTCAATTTTCATAAATTCATACAAAACATACAAATCAAGATAAAAACAAAACTAGGCAATTGCATGATCAAATAAACAAATTAGAGCTTTGAAAGTCATAGACACGAAATATCAAAATCCGCAGCACAGCAAGAAGAGATTCAGTTTACTGGTCATGCAATTAAGGACTACTATGGCCATCAAATGGGTTAAAAGCGAACCAAATGAACCAACACAGGATATTATCCTAATAAAAAAAAACGAGGAGCGAAAGATACCAAAGGAATGTTCAAACTCATAAATCGTTGACAAACTGACAACTCCATGGCGAAAAAGGAGCACGACCAAAAGACAAACAAACGTATAAACAACACAACATAGAAAGCTAAAGACCGAGAAACATGAAAATCATCGAAAACCAGGTTGATATTAGGTGCTTTTGAAGGGCAAGCAGATCCTGCTCTACATGTGACACACGTCGTTTAATTCGGTGATGTCATAAGAGGGATATAGAACCGGTATGTTTCCGACAATTGTGACATATCCGTCTTCATCTGCAAAACCAAAATCCCATAACGGACAACCAGCTCTTGTTGGTGTCCTTAAATTTTTTCGAATGGATGCCTTGAACTTCACTATTTGGAAACCTTGGTTTAATAGCTTCATTGTAAGCATCGACCGGACTCAAGGCTATTAGGTCATGCATTCAGAATCGCATTCAAAAACCACAATGTACTATGATCACACGGGTTTCAAACCCTTTCAAGAAGCCCGAGAATGTGATTGCTATGTTAACTCTATGCGATGGGACAGAGGATATGTTACTTCTTACAAATGGGAAATAGACAATTATAAAGGAAAGAAAAGTCTAAATTATAGTAACAATAAATGGTTTATAACTGTGGTCATCTCGCTATTTGTGACACATGTATTATAAAATTCGAAACTTAAAGGAAGGATCACTTCAATTTTACGAATAAAAAAGCTACGCTTATTATTTTGTCAAAAAACAGGCCTTTTATTTAATTGTTTGAATTGTCCTACATTTTTTTCATGTCGGGACCTTTTAAAACTGATTATTACGTATGTGTTTTATACATTGTTACATTTATACAAGGGCCGTTTGATGACATATAGATGCTTGAATTTACATGATTTTGAAAAGTGGATACTGTAAACCAACAAATTTTCGCGACTTCCGCGAGTAGTAAAATAACTCGAATATAAATTTCACAAATATGTAACACTTGGGCCTACTCGTATATAAATACATAAAGAAATTTAGAAAAAAACAGCGAAAATATATCGCTGCAATGTTGGCTAAAAAGGGTTTAACCTGCAAAACAAGTACGTTTAGTATCCGCGATTATAAGTTGGTTTACAGTAGTTGTCTCATTGGCAATCATACTGCATCTCTTCTGTTAAATACATTTCTTGTTGCAGTCACCCTCTTTCAATGATATCCTGATAAGAAAGGCAAATCCTAGAATACTATATCAGATCTGAGATTTTTACCTCATATGATGATGCAGATGGAATGTTGATATATTGAAAATCAAGTTTAAAATGAGAAAAATAAAGTTAGGTACTCGACTGAGCATCACTGTCAATGCCTATTCTACTTGATATAGTGTGTGATTTTACTTTCTTCCAGAGGTAACCGATATACTCAGTCCTTAAATGTATTAATAATATTGTTTGAATAATTAAGATTAAATCAAAATCATATCTTTAAATTTATGTATATTAATTGATTTCAGTATTTTCAGGGTCATAGTTATATGAGGTTTTCGGAGCATTTGGTCATATTTTCGTACATTAAAAAAATAAACACAAATTCCACATACTAGTACGTGTATTTTAAGCATGATCTATGTATTTATCAATCATCCTATTATCTGTTCAGTTCCCGCTAATATTGGTGATGGACATTTACATGTATTGGTATGCACAGAAATCTCTATTGTATCAGCCAGAATATACTGCCCTGAAATGAAAATAAATGACTTGTATGTTTTTTTACTTACAGAAAATATTAAATTGTATATGCGTGCAAATTAATCTTTGCATTGAGAAAATCGTTGTCAGTGACAGTTTACTGACATAATCCAAGAAGAAGAAATTCAGCATCCTTGACACAGACGGACTGAATTCTTAGTTATAGATTAGGACAAAATGCAGCAATGGTAATCGGCTAAGACACCATAACATTAAATCAATCAGTACATTTCTTTTTCACCTATAGGTAATACAAACTTCAATGTATTATATTAATGAAATTGTGTGGTATCAACAATAATATTATGACAACATGACACAAAAATAAGGAATCTAGATTTGAACTTATGGCATAGAACAGAAGGATGAGATATCAAGGGGTATTAAAAATTCAAAAGAGGAACTACCACCGACAAAACCATGGCAGAAAAGAAACAGGTCAAAAAACAAACAACAGTCTGCAAACACTACATAGAAAAAAAATCAGCGACACGAAGCCTACAAAAACCGATGGTGAACTCGGGCACTCCGGAAGAACTAGTAATCCTGCTTTACTTTGCCACCGCCGTGTTACTCTTTCCGCGTAGAAAATCGCTAAATAAGTCTCATTCAGTGATGTCATTGAAGAATGCAAACCGGAACTATGGCTACGACCAGTGGAAAATATTCTGTTTCAATCTGAAGTTATTACAAACGCCATTACCATAGATATGGTAATATTGGATAATTAAAAGTAAAACTTCACAAGGAATGCTCAAGCCTTATAATGACAATGAATAAACTTCAATTTGGCGTATCATAAAAACGTACCATTTGTAGAGTAGTGAAGATAGGGCCTTCAAACATCAACTTAACTACCGATTAACCGGTCAATCGGTCGAAAAATTATTCGAGTAACCCGTTAGGCAAAACCATTCAATTTGAAAACACTACTATTAACGCCATTACAAAATATCGACTTACGAAAAAAAGACAAACAACACTCTACAAAACACAACACAGAAAATTAAAAATTAAGGCATACAACAAGAACTGATTTGATATCATGTGCCGGATGTGACTCAAATCCTGCCCCACACGGGGCACCCATTGTGTAGCTCACGATAGTTACAAATTCGGTGCTAAGCCTCATACGATAATGTCAAAAGTCGAGGACAAAAAGATGTGGTTGTGGTTACGACAATTGGATCATATCGGTGTTCATCTGTTAAATAGATATATAGCGGTCAACCAACTTGTTATGGCGTCTGTAAAACTGTTGAAGGGATGATTTCATTTTACCACTTGGAAACATTTGGTTCCATACCGCGGAAGGTGAAGTTAGGGGATAACGGAAGCATCTTTTCGTTCTTAATGAATCTTCTGTATGGAGTCTGCCTCATATAAATAAATTACAAAACTAGTGTTATAAATTCATAACCAAGAAAAGATCGTGCACGAAAAATAAAAATTTGCTAACCATAAAATTTGGAAAGTGGAGATATAGAACAATTCTACAATAAGATAATCATATTTACTACTTCCGCATTTACATTGTTTCTAAACAGTCAAAGCCTCCGCCTCCCGGAATGCATTATTTGGTGACAACCACATTACGAGGTACTTACCACTTTCAAATCGGCCTTTCTTGTTTCCAGGACTAACAATGAAATAT